AAGACACTAGTCATTATTTCTAATGTAACATACAGGAACCCACTACAGGGAAGATGAGAATAGGAAAATGACATTATCTACTTAACCCTTCAAAAGGGTTACTCTGATCTTCACACCGAGTACTTTTTATTAATTCAAAGGAGAAGATAATAACTTTAAGTGATAGCTACCAAGTTCTTTTTACTCTAATCAAATTTTACAACACAAAACAGGAGAAAGTGATGCCAAGATCCTCCTAATGTGATACACTGGGAAAGAAACAATCACTTGCATAATGCATAGTATTTTGGGGAAAAAATGCACTGAATCTGATGAGGAAAAAATTCAAAACAAGACATAAAAGGCACAAAATAAAATAGCAAGGCCCTATCTCTAAATAAAATATTTAAAAAGGGCTGCGATGTGGCTCAGTGGTTAAGCACCCTAGATTCAATCCCTGGTACAAACAACAACAACAAAACAATTAAATGCAGTATGTTCATAGGATTAGATCATGTGTAGGGGGAAAAACTTTACTTTAGAACATTATTTGGTCAATTGGTAAAATTCAAGTTTAAATCTATATTAGATAATAAATGTACTGATGTTAAATTTCATTAATTTTATTATCACTACATAAAAAAGGCCTTCAGTTTTAGTATATATATATATATATATATATATATATATATATATATATATATATGAAATAGTATGGGTAAGGGAACAGTTTCTTTAACTTGTTACTGTTTCTGCTTTAAAAAAGTAAAAAAAAAAAAAAAAAGAAAAAGAAAAATTTGCAAAACGTTAACAACTGTTAAAATCCAAGTGAAGGATATGGTAATGAACTGAGTTTTATCTCCTCAAATTCATATGTGGAATTCCTAATCTCTACTATCTGAGAATGTGACTGTAGTTTGGAATAGCAACTTAAAAAAGTTAAAATGAGGTGATTTAGGTAGACCCTAATCCAACAGGACTATTGTCTGTTGTCCTTTATAAGCGATTAGGATGCAGAAACAGAGAGAAAACCATGCCATTGAGGGAGTCTTTAGAAGAAACTAACACTTCTAACACCTTGATCTCAGACCTGTAGTATACAATAGTTTAAGCCACCCAGTTAATGATACTTTGCTAAGGCAGCTCTAGCAAATGAAACCAGATTTAACTGTGATTAAAAAATTTCAAAGTATGTACAGAATACAAGAAAGGTTTCATCAAACTTTGTCTCTGAGCGTTATGGTGTAATGGGGGACTGTATAATCTTTGAATTTTCTGAAAACATAACCTGTTTATCACAGAAGTCTATCATTCACATTTCAAATTCAGATCACATTTTATTCAAAAGTAGGTACTGAATATAGTAGCTTAGGATTTCCAATTTTCAAAGTTATGATACCAGTGTTTAGGGAAAATTATAGCAAAACATATTGGAAGCCCATAGTTTAGCTTCTAATATTGGTTCTATGAGTAATCTCATATAAACTTCATCTCAGCTTGGCCTAATATATCTATAAAATGGAGATTAAATACAGCTACTTCTACAAACCCAAGGTTTTTTCAAGGTTGGAAGGACTGTCTTTGTTTATTATATATTTATACTTCTTCCAAACTTTTGATGTTTCCACATGACACTCAGCAGATTAGCTACTGATAATAACCTAGCTTTTATAAATCCCCAAGGAGTGAAATCACAACTGGTTGGAAAAATCTGGTCATGTTCTGCTCAATTCTATTACTTTTTCCTCTAAGGCACTTGAGGGCCCTCCAGGGACAACTCCTGGGGCAGTAAGAGTTGGTTTGGCATTGTGTAATTATGGTGAAAGCTGCTAAATTCCAGGGTACAGTGAGAAGATCTACTAAGCCTTGTATTATAATTGCTCATCAATAAAGGTTTTATTTTGGTTCTCTGTGACTCCTTGGTTTTAAGTAACATGATCGAACACAGGAAATGAGATTAATTGGAGGTCTCTCAGTAACCAACATAACATTAAACTAGTAATCAATACTATTTAGCAGTACTAAAATGAATTAAAATTCACAGAGAACCTAACTTTATATTTTATTGAGTCTATTTTATAGTACAACTTCATTTTATTAAAAATAAAGCATACCACCATATTATTAAATCATATTTTAATTTATACCCATATTTACATACTATGAAGAATACTGTACAAAATGGAAGCTGTCAACATTTCATACATGCTTAAACATGTATGAAGCCAGGCGTGGTGGTACACACTGGTAATCCCAGTGATTTGGGAGCTGAGGCAGAGGAGAGCCAAGTTTGAGGCCAGTCTCAGCAAATTAGCAAGGACCTGTCTCAAAATGAAAAGTATGAAGGGCTGGGGATGTGGATCAGTGATTAAGCATTTCTGGGTTTAATCCCTAGTAACAAGATTAAAAAAAGTATTGTCCACATTTTACAAGTTTAAAATATATGAGCATTTTATCACCTTATATACCTGAATTGTTGGGGGTGCTGAAAAATACCAAAATGTTTTAAAATTTGTTTTAAAATTAAGCCCACTGTATCACAAGCTTTGCAAGATTGGTATTTTGAAATACATATTACAAATTGTTGAAATCTTAAAAGAAAATAGATTATGACACCTAAGATCAGGTGCTTTCCATATAAAAGTTAGGCAAAAAATAATAACTAGAAGTTACAGCTTTTAGGATTATAACTTTAGGAGGAGAAGCCAGATTCTTCATTACAAAAACATATAAGGTTCAATGAATCAGAATTAAGAATCTTCTATCAAGTCACACCTTGAGAGGGATTTTCTAAAATTTAACTCTAGGCATTAAAGAGAAGAGAACTGTGATGGCCCTCATTTGCTCACAATTAAGGGCATCATCTATGGAATATGTTGGAAATAAACAACATCCAGGAAGCAAAATTCCTAGGAAATCTAAACAGCTTTCATTATCTGGCTTTGCATCAGTACCCAGATTGGTCATTACCATATTCCCCCAAACACTTCACTCTTCAGTTAGAAGAGACACTGAGTATTAAGGCAGACTGAAAGGTAAAAGTCAATTTCTTAAAAGCAAAGATGACCTGAAGCTTTTTTTTTTTTTTTTTAAATTTTCATGATTGCTACCAAGAAATCAGTCTAAAAATATTTATTAAACACTTGTGAATCATAAACTTTGGGGATCCTGTGATGAGCAAGATGCTGTCCACATGCTTTTTAGAACTTACTAGTGTTATAGGGTGATGGGAGGCAGGGCAACGCAGGGATAAAAATTAACTATAAAATCAATACTTAATTTTGGTATAGCTTCAATAGCACCTTGGCCTAGTCATTGGTCCCGTGCCACTGCTAAGCAAGATCTAGAAATGCTCAATTTTACAACTCAATTTTGAGAATAATTCCCAGCCATTAAAGACAACTGTTAAGTAACCAAAACAAATACAACAACAAGGGAGGTAAAGTAAATAAGAGGAACAGTTAAGAGATTTTCTTTTAACCTCTAAGAAGGTGGGGGAAATTTACATTAAGTAAATCAAGTTCCTATTTTAATTGGTTCCATGAATTCTGCTAAAATACACTTTCCCCCAATTCTCTATAAGATAGAGACAACAGACCAAATCTGGCAAACATTTCTTAACATTTGAGCCTTTAAGCACTATAACAAAGACTCAAAGAGTTCTAAAAACAGAATAACAAAAGTACAAGTTATTCCCTTGACTCTGTTGCTTCTGCTTAGACTGAGTGTCCTAAAGCCCCATCATTTCTAGATTTGGTAATAAGAGTAATTTCTTTATGTGTAGCTCCAAATCAGCCACTGATTAGCTGTAGAGATGGTTCTCACAAAATCAACTCTGTAATATACACTTGAGTGTGTAGTATGATCTAATGACTCAAGATTCCCCTAAGCATAAATATCTCATAAGTTTTAAAACTTAAAAATCTAGATCAAAGCAGACGACCAAATGCTGAAATCGTGATTGTACTGACTCACTCCAGGCAATATTCTGTAGTACTGATGCAATATTCTCAAAGCTTTTAAACAGAATGTAATTCTCAAGGGAAAATACTTACTTGTGACATATTTGAGATACACCAAAGAGAGAAAGAAAGAAAAAAACACAATTTAAGGAGTTGAATAATAAAAATATTCCAAAATGGGAAAAAAAGAAAAAAATTAAATATTGATAAAGAAGGATTTTTCCAAGTTTAAAACAGGCCACATGATTCAAAGAAACACTAAGTCAAATAAAAAAGTTGCTCACAAAAGAATAGTTAATATATGAACAGTCAACAGTTTTAAAAAATACTCATATTAAAACAAAATCTGCTGTGTCTTGCATACCAATTAGTAAAGATCAGATTAGAGTTGATTTTATGAGAACCATCTCTACAGCTAAACTGAAGGTGCAGGTAAAGATGCAGAGAAACAGGCAATAACCAAAAACATTACTGATGAGATTAAAACTGAACTCAGTTCGTCAGACACTCAGTCAATGATTCATGAATTTGATTTCTGTTAACTCTTCATTAGATAAATATTCATGAATATAGAAAAGCTTCATATAACAAAGGAATTATTTTAGCAGCTTCATGAATAATGCAGTTAAAAAGTTATATACCTACCCTCCCAACAACAATATTATAGGACAAACAATCCAACTATTTAACAAGGGATAGAAAAACCATGAAATGTTTATGTCCTAATGTTCAATGAAAAAAGAAGATATAAAGTTATGCATTATAGAGTCACAACTGTATATAAAACACTGGTACAGAAAAAAAGCCAATTGAAAAATATCAACACACTTTAGTACCAAAAAAATGAAACGCTGTTTTATTAGATTTAGTGTTGTGGAACAATGCTACTTTATAGAATGATGGGATTTAAGCATAAATATTTGGTACAACTTTAATAGCACAGTCATTAACTGATAATCAAGCTACTTTTGCAAAATACTTATTTGGTCATTTAATTATCATCTGAGTAACTTCTCTACTTATTTAGAAAATTTTTGAAACACTATTATAAGAACTTACCACATGAGTAGTTTTTAATGTACTGCCATCAAATCTGCATAAACTGGAACTCTCTTCAAAAAAAATGTCACATTCTTCTAACTCTTGAGCATTACAAGGAGGTTTTTCTTTATCTGGATTTGGATTCTTAGATCATAAAATGAAATAAATAAGTCAAAAACAACAGTAAGGAAATGCATTTACTCACCCTTAGAAATGTTGTGATTATAGCAATAATTAAAACTAATTTCAAATACATAACCAATAAAAATAGCCACAGAGATGACAGAATGATGGAGTCAGCACAGAAGGACATTAAAACAGCTATTATAAACAAGTTCTATGTACTCAAAAATGTAAAGGAAAACACAATCATGTAGACATATGGAAGATATAAAAGAATTCAAATCTCTATATATGAAAATTAAAAATATCAAATAGAAAACAAAACAAGTATTATCATAAGTACTGAAAATTCTATAGCCATTCAGAAGAAAAATTCTCAGTACACTAGGAATACAAGAAAATTTCTTTAATTTGATAAAAAAGAATCTACCACACTTTATAGTGAAATACTCTTTTCCTAAAGATGATAATAGGAATGTCTGTTTTTACCATTCATGATTCTATTTAACAGTAGAGTATAGCCAACACATGAAGTAAGTTTGAAAATTTCAAAAACACAAAACTGCTCTCAATTGCAGATGACAGGACTGTCTTTTCATTCTGCACTGTCTTTTCAGAATGTAACAAACATAATGATGTCTATGTATACGTAACTTTCTCATAAATACAAATATGTCTTTGAAACCATCAGGTTTAAAAAGTAGTTAGAAGAAACACTTGTTTCAAAACAAGTCTTTTATTAATATTAGCCTGGAAATATTATACACAATAAATACTTGCTGAACGAATGAATGCAGTCACTCCCTCTGAAAGCCAGCCGTTTGGGGCATCATTCCAGTGGTACTTTTTTGTTTGTTTATTAAACCTAAATTATTTGCCCTTGAATTTTAGGTTTTCTATCATATGTAAAACTAAAATGAACAGGATTTTGGGTAACATATTCTCTGGATATCAGAGGAGTATTTCTGTAGCCTGCATGGCTTGTGTTAAAAAGCTATGAAACTGAAGTTTTGTAGTCTATGTATAAATTCCAGTGTTTGCTGAAATTTTCAATTATTGGGGCCAATTCTATTTTTGTCATGTTTCCTTTTGACAAAGACATTCACTTTCAATATTCCAAACTTTGTTTTCTACTTTAAGATGCAACTAAGGCTACAGGATAATTGTTAATGTAGCCGCCTTCATCATTATTATTCAAGATGGCAATAAAGCAGACATTCTACATAAACTGATATAATTTTTGGTAAACGAATATATAACTGACTTTTTGCTGTATCTGTCCAAATTATCATGGGAACATTTTCAACCCCATGGCTGAATAAGTATTGTCTTAGTCATTGTACTCATTACAAGAATTTACTTTGTCAAAAATAACTATACTATATATAATCTACATATATATCCTTGTGATAATCTAAGATTACTTAGAAAATGTCAATGATAAGTAGATTAAGGAGACTATATGCAGATACATAAATATATACACACACACCCCTATACAATATGCCCACACATATATGAATTCGCACCATGTAAGAAATAGAACTTAAGTCATTTTAAGACATTAATCAGGTCAACAGTACTGAATCTATGTCTTTTATACTTGTCAAAGCAAAATACTATTTGAAAATCATGGGACAATCCTCACATAACATACTCTGGATTCTTGGAAAGTCACACTACTACTGCAACTGCTCACCAGTTCTTCAGAAGTCAAATGCATCAAACGTTCAGCTATGGCAGCACATTGGGCTGAGTCTCTTATAAGTTCCCCTTGTTTATCACCAACCACTAGCTCAGGCCATGTCAATCCTTCATTCTTTTTAATCAAGAAAATCTCCAAGCTAAAAGTTTAAACGAGAAAAGTGGTATTAAACAACTATGCAAGTTATACTATCAAAAACAAGCAGAAGAATCTTCTACAGAAATACTCCTCTGGTATCCAGAAAGTATGTTACCCAAAATCCTATTCATTTTAGCTTTGCATATAATAGAAAACCTATAATTCAAGGGCAAATAATTTAGACAATATACAAACAAGAAAATACCACTGGAATGATGGCTGGCTTTCAAAGGGGAGTGACTGCAAAAAATGAGTCTACTCAAAAAATACTGTGGTTGTCCAGGTGTGCAGAATGTTAAAATTAAAGTACTTAAAGTACAAAAAAATGCACAAGTAGCATGGATATGAAATAATGGTAAATGGGGGTTGATGCACATAAAGGAAAGCCTACAACCATAAGGTAGTTCTTGGTATCTGAAACCAACAAGTAACTTTATTTTCACAAACTAATAACCATTAATATGTATCTATTAATCAAATTACCAGGTTGGTTAAATCAATGCAAATGTTAATTTTAATGTATAGATTTTAAAGAATTGAAAAGAAATGTAGGAATTAGGAAAACAACTTTGGTAATACAGGGAAATAAAGATGTTAATGTAGTCTCTATTAATTTATTCAAAATCTAATTCTGTACATTTGAACCATTAAACAGAAATAAAAAATAAAAATAAAAAATGTCTGTTAGGGAACCCTGAGATCAGGGACTGATGATGCAGGAGAGGGAAGAGCTGAGTCAGGGCAGATGTTTGACACAGAAGGCAGCTGGCCTTTGATCCTTGGCAACAGGAGAAGAAATTCAAGTAAGATGCTCTGTGAGCAGCCGTTGCTGCAACAGAAAAAAAATGGGATGGTAGGAGCTGTTCCACAGCAAAGTGACCTTTTCCACGTGACATCTTTGGTACATGTGCTACACTAACCCATGCTGTGGAACACAAATGCAAGCAAACAATTTCAAAAATACAATTACACTTATTATCAAACAGAACATGTAAGCTTATCATTCTTTTTTAAGGCTATTATTATTACCACCTCATGAATTAATTACAGCATTTTAAAATTTTCTAAAATTATTTTAAGAGATAGGAGATCCTAGCATTAGCATTGAAAATTACTACCATAATCAGCAATGCCCAGATGAAGTTATATTTTCTAAGTAAAAGGCTAAGCCAAGCACAGTGGTGCACTCTTGTACTCCAGTGGCTTAGGAGGCTGAGGCAAGAAGATCATGAGTTCAAAGCCAGTCTCAACAAAAGCAAGGCACTAAGCAACTCAGTGAGACCCTGTCTCTAAATAAAATACAACACAGGGCTGGGGATGTGGCTCAGTGGTCAAGTGCCCCTAAGTTCCATCACTGGTCCGCTCCACACCAAAAAAAGGCTAATCTTGATGATGAAGATAATAATGACAGTTTACATTTACCTAACATTGACCATATACCATGCATCGTCTTAAGCACTTTGCATGTTTTAATTCACTTATTGCTCATCACAGCCAAATTAAGTAAGTACCATTATGTTCATTTTACAAGCAAGGGGGAAAAAAGAACTTAAAGGAGATTAAATAACTTGCCAAGGTCACAAGCTAGTAAAGCAGCCTGGCTCCAAGTCCATGTTCTTCACTACTGAACTATTCTGCCTCTCTGAAAAAATACATGTAAATAACTTTTAAGAACTTTTACCCAGTGACCAGAATGTATAAACACATTCTTAGTTGCTACCTCAAGATGTTTAAAATAGCTCACATTATAATCTTAGTTACGAAGAATGAACCATTGTTAATTTGCACACCTCAACAACATAGCCCTTTCAGCATGACTGCGTTCCTACATTTTAAAACCAGCATCAGATCCTACTATCCAAGCAAAAAGAAACATACATAATAAGATACAGTCTAGTTAACAAACCCTTTCAAAGTGAGAAAGAACATTAACTACTGGAAAATGAGAGAGATGAACAATTTAATCAAGCACAGAAAATCATGTTTTTTTAAGCCAACAATACCACCTACGCCTCATTGTAATTATCTTTTGTAACACAAAATCATAACCAAAAACCTCAAATTTACTGAAAAAACAATAGTGGTCTATGTTCATGTGTTGAACACTCAAACTGTTTGCATGAAATTCAGCTATTCCCCTAGACCTTTCCTGGATTACTGCTTGATGAATTATATTTAACCCAATTTATTGTTGAAAATGAACAAAAGCAAGATGTATAAATTGTGCATAGTATGTGTCAAAAACTTTTTTAAAAAAAGAAAAAAAGATGTGTATGTTGTTAGAAAACATGAAATATCTCTGGATGGAAAGTAGGGATGGTAGTTGTATTATTTAGTAAGCAAATGAAGCTTAACAGAAAAAAAAAGAATTCTATTTAACAGTTTAAGAGTGTAAATTAAAATAAATAACCATTTTGCCTAGTGTTATTACTGTACCCAGAGCTGGTAATAACAAACACTTCTACCTACTGCAAGCAATAACTACATTAGCATCTTTAATCTTAACCATAATTATGCTGTGTGATGTAAAAAATCTGTTTTTAATTTATTTTAAAAAAATCAGAAATGCAAACAGAACTATTGTATTCATCTTTGATATAACAACTGTAGAAAGAGTAAAAATAAAAGAAAAAAGTAAAAATAACAAAAAAGTAAAATTTCAAACATAAAACTAAAAAAAATATACCTATTATTCTCTTTAATTATCCATGTACTGCTTTCATGATCAATAGATGAATACAGCTTTCCTTTCAATAACTGGCAATCCCTCAGCATAATGTTGATGTGATCAGGTAAAAACTGCACATGAACATCTTCTTTAACGCTGTTTTCTGGAAGCCGTACTGTCACTGTCAAATCATCTTCAGTTTGTTGCCAATAATACAGAGGTTCTACTGAGAAAAGAATACTGCATTATGTAATAAAAACAAGAAGACAACATACAAAATTAGAGACTAGAACATAAGAAAGAATATCCATCTCTAAAATAATCTTAGCATATCTTCTAGTGATTATCTCACAAAAAAAAGTAATTATAAATGAACCCACATAGACTTTGGGAAATTTTCCCTTAAAGAATTGTAGCAATTTTACTTGACATTCACCTCTTCCAGTCTTACCTACTGTTCAGGAAATAAGGATTCATAAAATACAATGGACAACAATGCCTCATCCCCATTTCATACCTACCTCCCTATACTCACCCCCCCCCCTTTTCCCTCTTACACACACACACACACACACACACACACACACACACACAGGATTCCTGTTTGAAAAGAATATAAAATATGTCTTCCTCAAAAGTTTATCCAAGAAGTTTTTATTTAATAATCACCCAATGGAAGACTTCAGCCAAACAATGAAGATAGCAAGAGTCTGTAAAATTACATGAACTTTTAGTATAAAGAGGCATGAAAACAAACTAAAGGGCAAGTCAAAATTTTCGAGTTCCTCACCAAAAACAGACAAACATCTAAATTTTCTTGATTGTTGGTTGTTTTTAGAGTTTTTCTGTGCTTTTAGAAATTATGTTTTAGGATTTTAGTATGACAATACCAAATAGCCAACAGACAATACCAGTCTTTCTGAGATTTACAGAAAATGAAACTAGTATGTATACTCAGAAAAGTTTAAACATGCTGATTAATAAAAAATTCCTAACTTTTGAAAATTATTTTGTAAAAATTCTGTAAAAAAATAATGAATTCAAGATATAAGAAGTCAACAATAAAACAATATCTGGACTAGTAATCAGTGATTTAAACACAAGGTGTATTCCACTTGGGCTATCACATGCCTCCCTACTACATGTCTTCAACTACATGGTCCTAGCTATTTGGCATAATGGTTCCAATGACCAGGGCATTCTTCCTTCCTGCCCAACTGCTCATCAACGAAGTTCTAGAGGGCATGCGGATATGAACAGTCAATCTGGAAAAGTTTTAGGAGGGTTTAACATTATAATTAAGACAGAATAGAAGAGAATCTAACAAAAACCACATAATATATGAAGAAACAAAGGTGCTTAAAGGCTAACTAAAGCGCCAAGTATAACTTTTTGTACTTAGAGGTGTGTATATACATAATAAACCTGGTGGAAATATTTGTAAATTACATCCCTGGCTGTGAACATCAGAAATATGAACAGTGATTATGAAGGGATGTTTTTGAATAGTTTTAAAATAATATGTATCTTTGTATACAAATATAAATTTCTTCTTAAAGACGTTAATTTTTTCATTCTAAAATATGACTTTTATTCATTCATTCAACCTTGAGAAAATCTTGATTCTGCCCTCAAGCAACTCTATCAGTTTAGTATGAAAGATAAGAACATGCATATTAGTTTAACTCATTTTAAAACATTAGTACTCTTAATACCATCATACAGGTTTTTCAAATGCCAACAGTTATTAATTTGCTTATTAACTTATTTAAATATTTATTAAACATGCAATCAAGTAAGCTGAGAGATTTTTAAAAAATCTTTGATAATCACAAAATTGTTAAATTTTAAATAGCTTCCACTATTTAGGTGGTATATTTTACAAAAGTCTTTTTTGGGAAATACAAAAGAAAATTAAAATTACGAATCTATCCCACCTGGTAGAACCCATAACCTAACTGGAAAGACAAAACAGACATAAATGTTTATGTATAGGAATACACACAGACATAAATGTTTATGTATAGGAATACACACAGCTTTATAAAGATTAAACATAAAATCACCTTGGATTTTCTCTGACATGTCTTCATTCATATTTTCTTCAAGATCTTGATCAACCTGAACAAATTTGAAGGACTTGTAGGAGACAATCATTAGACCATTTCCATTTGGCTCAATAGCAGCATAATTTGGCACCGATTTTCCACGGAGAATATCACGCTTAGTAATTTCATACTTTTTACCATCTATAATAAAATTAAATACGTTAGAACAAAACATTACAAAAGTGGATAATAAAAATAATCTGAAAACATGTTAATTTTAAATTAAATATTCTAAATATTATTATTACAATTCACATTAATAATCTTTGTGTAAGAATAAAATATTCATAACCTCATTATCTTCAATGATTATTTAAAAATACTGGATCTGATGCAATTTTCTCTTAGATTGTTCTGTCCAATTGTGGCTGGTGGCAGTAGCCACCAGCCACAAGCAATTAATTAAAATTAAGTTTAAAATCCAATTCCTCAGTTACACTGGCTTTCCAACTTCTCAATAGTTACATCATAGTACCTATGGTAGTGAATGGTGCACATATGAAACATGTCCATCTCATAGAAGTTCCTATTGGACAGCAAAGATCTGGCCTTCAAAGTGACTAACTTACCTAGAATATCAGCTTCTGAAGGTTCTACCTTCTCCTTGACTATAGTCTGTCTATTTTCCCAGCAGGTATATGATAGGCATCTTCTGAAAAGAGCCACAAATTGAGGATAAGGGAAAAAGTGTGGTGGGGACTATTTTTCTGTCTGTTCTAACTGCTGGTAAGGGGGTTTCTTAAAATAAAATATGCTTACAGTAGAAATTATTTCTACACATAAAGAGATCTAGATTACTAATAACCAAATATAAAAAAAACACTTTTAACATATTAAAAACCATATCCCAAAAGCTTTTTGTAAATTAACTAAATTTATTATTCTATGAAGATAGGGTTTTTTTGTTGTTTGTTTTAAAAAATACTCAGACATTTCATTTGAGCCCATATCTTTACTTATACTATTTACTCTATTAATATGGGTTGCATCCTCTCCTATATTCATACATTCAATTCACACATATATAAAACAGGCTTATAGTTTCATGAATTAACTAAAATTATACATCTATACATCCTTCACAGGTACATGTAAGAAAAGCAATCCTACTTGCTTTTAATGACCTAAATTTAGGCACTATATATTTTATAGGAAGGCTATTCATTCCAAAATGAATAACTACCACAAGATATATCTGTACAGCTACAGATATGAAAATTTATATAAATAAGATGAATAAATTTGAAGTAGTTAATGTAACAGATTTGTGCTTCCCAGCATTTTTGGTTCATCTCTGGAGAAACACAGTAGCATAAAACTGTAATTCTTAGCAATATTAAAAATATACATGTTAAAAATTTTCAAGAATTATGTAGTAATGTCTTGTAATAATGTCTCCTTTTATACAAAGGCATAACTAGCTATGAAAGCACATTATTTATTTATTTATTTTATTAACTCATAACTGATTCATACCTGAGGAGAAACTATCTACAGATATCCAACCCACCTGTGGTGGCAGGTGCTAGAATCAATAGTGCCCAGGAAAAACAAAGCAGCATTTACAGGGACAGCTTTGCATTTCAAAACATACTGATGGGAATCACTATAAAGAGATTCAGAATTTTATTTTATTTTACCTTTATTTTTCTTACTGATAGTGACCCACTCCAGAGAAACATAGAAACCACTTCCTTTCATATCCAATTCTTCTTTCTCTATTCGAAGAATTAAGATAGCTATGGAATGTTCTTCAGCTTTTAGCAAAGAGATACTGTGAATTATGATAAAAGGATCCCCAAGCTCTTCATTAAACATAATCTACCAAAAAAAAAAAAAAAAAAAACACCATGAAAATGTATATATTGTACAAGCATAGCACAGAGGGAATACATAAAAGTGGTGACAATCCAACAACTATTTTGTGTACTATTTATTAGGAAGAATTAAAAAATAAAAAAGCAAATTTAAATAATGTTCCTTGAAGAAAAAACTTGTGCATGCATGCACACGCGCATACACACTAACTCGATTTGTATAATAGAAAACTGATCAATACTCTTGGCTTTAAAGAAAATAACAGGGCATCTACACAGTATTTAAAGGAGAAAGAGAACTAAGAGCAATCTCCTAAAGGAGAATTACACAGGGTAAAAGTGCTCTACATAAAAAGACCACAGGCAAGTCAATATTCACTCCTATTCTCTTCCCTTTTATCATGTATGACTTATTTCTGCTTTCTTACTCTTTGTTTCTGCATTCTGTGTGCAGTATGCATGTATGTGCATGTATGCTTTATACCTATTATTTATTTATTTGTATTTCTGTTTATTTTCTGGAAGTTCACAAAGATAAAAGTCATCAGAGAATAAATCAGTAAAGTTTAATCTCAAAACCAAAGAGCCCATTTACACTTAAAAGATAATTCAACAAACTCTATTTAAAATGTATTCTTGATGTTGTTCTCCCTTCCCCAAACAAATTTAAAGCCGCACAAAATCCTATTAAAATCTTTTTTATACCATAAATGCGTGCTCTAAAAGACAATCTACCTCTTAGAGTAAACACTAAAAAGGAGAGTTTTAAGACTGATTTCTAAACAAGATTTCTGAAAAGTTGCAGTTGGAGAAAAATTTAAAAAAAAAAAAAAAAAAAAAAAACAGAAGAAAAAGTTAGCTTTTTTCTTTTGAAATCTGTACCTGGAGTCCCTGCAAATTTTTTCTACTTAAAATCTCTATAAAGAAAAGTGAGCTGTTATCTATTTCCCTATATGTTTGAGCACTTCTGCCAAAAGTATTCAATAGTAAGTCTTTGGAATTCATCTAACAATTTTCAAAAGCAGAAACAACAACAACAATAAACCCTCAGATACTCAAAACTGAGACAACCTATGAAGATAAATTTTGAGTTGGCTGACTGAATTTAACTCATCTGCAGGACAATGGAAGCTAAAGGCAAGAAGCGAAAAATGACGTGTTTTAGGAGGTATAAGCAGCTAGTTTTTCCTTTTTTTTTTTCTTTCTCTTACAAGTGGTAGGAACTAGAAAGAGTAAAAAGAAACAGATGACTAGACTAAAAGTTGCTAGGCTGAGGTTTTTAATCTTCTGAACAAGACCAGCATCTCAACTGTAACACTATTCTGATCTACCACCCTCATAATATTATTTGGAAAGTACGCAGTCTTCCATATCTTTTAATTTCTTTCTATACCCTAGTCATCACCACCACCCTTGGCCCCCTTGTGCCCTATCATGCCCTTTAATCACTTTTACTCTTAGCTTTTTTTTTTTTTTTTTGTCACACCAATTGCCCCAAAGTCCTAAAACTCTTTTAAATTATTGTAACTAATATATTCCGTAGCTTTCTCACTTTAATTGATGTACAAGTCCCATTCTTCTCTCACTTCCCCCATTATCTAGACAAAGCTATAATTATTAACAGACAACATCTCAGAAGGGTTCTTTTTTTATTATAGCAGTGTATACTAAAAAGGGCATAAGACAGATTTCAGTTTTTAATGAATTAAAACATATTTTAAAGGCCTAATATGTTTCAAGGGGACACACACAGCAAAAATCAAAAGAATTATAAATCTATGTGCATCTCCTTCCGGCAGAATCTGTGGAATAGAATATTCTTAAAAAATAAGTTGAGAGTGAACTGAGTCCTCTTGTCTCTTCCTGCTTAAAACCAACTTAATCTACAAAACTCAATAATAATTCTCATTTTTATCTCTTGACCATCATTCTCAAAACTCCAAATGTTTCAGTTAATGATAGCTATAACACACAATAACTCATTTGTTTAAGCTTTTACTGAAGGCTAGAGTAGAAAATGTCACAATGTCCAATGAATATGAAACTGTGAATGCAACAGTCTCTTATAAACAGACTATTGATGATGTTTTTGTTTAGTTTTTCAGACATACTATAATTTGGTAATATACCATTTAGTAAAAACTTAGTAAGATAGGTAAGTCATTTAGTTTGAAAACCTCCCAGGTTTTTCTCAAATAATTAAGGTCTGATGTTAATATGTATCGTTGATCTGATAAAGATATTTTATAACATGTAAATATATTAAACTTTTATCTCTTTATTTACCTGAAACTAAAGGCTATCTGCTAAGATTTAGACAGTGGTAATATTATACCAATTAGTGGAATTCAAAGGAATTGAAGCAATAAATCATTTGATTATCTACCCCAAATCATTTTCTTCCATTTTCAAAAACAGGCATTGGAAAAATTGATTCTGTCTTATTGCCATTAAAATCCTAATCTACCTCTCACATTTAGATCTGCTTCATTTTTTAACATTGAAAGAAAAATGGCATCTTAGAGATTAGTACATAAGCATATTTATATTACTATGTATTTTTCTAAGTAGGGAATAGTTAAACTATTTGACCAGTGTAAACATATCAGCAAATTTAACATGAAGGTAGAGGAGAAAAACATTTCAATATAAGCTTTTTCAACTCTGTTTCAAGGAGGAGACAATGTCAATGCTTAGTGCAGTGCTTTAATACATACAAAACACTCAAGAAATATTTGCTGAAAATAAATGCAAATCTTGACAAGTATACTGACCCTAGATGAAAACAAACAACTAACCTATCAGTTAAACACAAAGTATATGTATGTTATAATTTACTTAAAAAGAGACACAAGACTTTATATTAAAAAAACCAAGAGATCACCTATAAGCTCTCCTTGAAAAGTATTCTTTTAAAATAAATAAGGTCTAATTTGCATATACTTTCTGGACTTTGAAAGTCTTTAAAAAAAACAAAAAAAACAAAAAACCTCACCTCCCATTTTTCAGAAGCACTATTTCCACGTTCACCTGTTCCAATAACATATAATCTTCCAGTTCCATCTGACAAGGTAACCCAGGTGGATGATGTGAAATGGATAGATGCACAAAGGCGATTATCGCATGCCGTCAAATCTGTAGGTAGTCGAAACACCTCTCGTGGTTTTCCTAAGGCAGTATCCTAAAAAGAAGTCAAACATAAGTGAACCCTTTCCTCTTCCCTGAATCATACACGCACAAAATAAACATCTGCAGTGTAGTCATTTTTCTCTTATTCAAGAGTCTGATCTAACTGCCTTCCCTTTAAGTTTAAGATATACTACTAATCACTTTTTTGGGGGAGGGGAGGAGTTTAAGAGATTATATGTAGCACAAAGAAACATTTATTATTGAAACTTTTATGCAATTAAGATATATTATAAAACATTGAGTTAGCATATTCAAATTGCAATACCACACATTTTTTTATTAAATATGTTTTTAAGTTTAAAAAATTTTTAAAGTGAGTGGATTTAAAGAAAAATACTGTTTATGACTCATAGGACACACCCATGCCAAAAAAATCTAATGCAGTACTAGAATCACTGAAGTGAGGAAAATACAGCTTTAACATGAGAGTCCTGAGTAACTATTTGACTTAAAGGAAGTTATCACCTGAGGTCCCTCAATTTCAGGCCCCAAATGACTTTTTCAGCTACTGATTCCCTTCAAACAAATAAAATAAAGTAGATGGGATGGATAGTATGTGACTTCTAGGGCTGGATCATCAAACACTTTACATCTTCTGTCTCATTCTTTTTCTTGGATTGACACTGTAAGGGAGGCTAGCTACCAAACCATAAAGATGATTAAATAGTCCATGGAAAGAACATCATAGGGAAGAACTGAGGCTCCTACCAATAACCGGCACCATATGAATGAATCATTTTGGAAATGTGTCCTTCAGACCTAATCAAGCTTTCAAACGACTGTATCCATGGCTGACATCATAACCTAATGAGAAAGCTTCAACCATACCACTCCACTGAAAGCACTCCCAGACTTCTGACCACACAAACTGTGAGATGCTTATTGTTCCAAGTCACTAAGTTCTGAAATTGTTTCTCAGTAATAAATAACACAATGCAGAAGTCTAGTTTTCTTTCTTTTAGCTTTAGAGTTACCAGTTTTTTAATTCACTAATTAGAAATATCATACAGATACTAGCCTGCAGTATGAAACACTGCATTTAAACTATCACCAACTCAGTTTTTTGTTAACAAATTCTCAATTGTGCCTGTGTCCTTATAATTTTAAGATATAAGATACGTTGCATCATTAAAATGTTTTACAAGAAAATACATAAAATGGCTTACTATTCTGGAAATAAGCTTCCTTTCAGTATTCAATTCAACAAATTTTTTGTTGTTATTAAAGTTTTAGTTGTCAGTTAAGAGATTTTACCATAGGACAAGAGTACTCCTAGAACTATTCAGATGTACATACTAATAAAATACAAGCCCTATACACAAGCCACAAGTTTTTTTGTTGACTCACTGTTTCTTTTTACTTTCCTTTGAAACAGTACCTTTATTTCCTTTCCCTCCTCATATTTTACTGATTTGCATAATACCAAATAAAATCATAAATATAAAATATAGCAAGCACAGCTGGCATGAATAGTTTTTAGAAACATTACATCTGAGTATTTGTGATGTAAAACTTAACTAGTAAAAAACTGAATTGTATTAGCATAATGCTGAGTAGCATATATTAGTAGTAAACTTTAAGCTTTCTGTAGTCTCTAGCCCCTACTTTTTACAGAGGGAGTTTAGAATAGAATACCAGTTAATCCAGTCAGTCAGTTAAGTGAAGGTCAAGTAAGAAAAATTTTGCCATATGTTCATGCTTATGTCAGCATTTATAATACAATGCTGTATTCTACAAAATGAGAAAAACAAATGGTATTGAGACTAAACTTTTCAGAAACAATTCAACTTAATGTTTCCTCACACCTCATGTAATAAAAATGTTCACCATTTAACACTATAAATGAAAACTTGTGCTGATAATAAGTAGGAAATAACCTTGCTGATCATTAATAAAGGGAAGAGGAAAAAAGCAACTCCCCTGTCCTTGTGGCACTGGTACCATCAGCCAGGCTTTGGTTTTACTGTAAATTATCCTGGCATTAACAGCATTGTTCTCCTTTTGAACATAAACAGTTTCACAGAATATAAATATCAGACAAGGCCACTGTGATACTGACAAAATAGCATCACTCCATAATGATATGTGAATACAGATAAAACATTAATATTGTCAAAACTTCAAATATGACACTCAATCCAGGCCAGTGTGAGCAACTGCAGCTTCTTTACTAATTACATCCTGCACTTCAGTCTAGTCTTTCCTCCTTCTAGATGAGACTTATTAAGATACCCATAATAAAATTATCCAGTTTCCTCACAGTATCCAATGCAAATACTTTCTTAAATCCTCCCGACAAATCACCTAACATGAGCCCAATCCTTTAATATTATCATTTCTAAATCCTCCAAGATACCCTGTGATTCTCCATGGTGTATACTCTTCCTTAATGCAAAAAGCAATAAATCCAATTTGTTCAAACACAGGTCTGTGCCTGATGTCTTTGGAGAGCATTGGCAGGGAAATGAACATCCGCCCTATGGAATTTCATATAATTGTTAAATATCCTGAGGTTGATTTATATTACTGACACATACACACAAAAAAAGATCAAAAAGATACCACCCCACCCTCCCCCCCAAAAAAAAAAGAAAAGAAAAAGCACACAGAATATGTATAACATAAACCCATATATGCCGGAACAAAAGTTGTGGTATGTCAGCACACAGTAAGACACAGACAAGACACATGCCAATCTGTTTAATAGTGTTTTCTATTAGGAAGGAAAATGAGATGAGAGCATGCCTGGTACTAGGGGAAATGAAGGTGAAGGCAAATTCCCTTTTACTTCAAACACATTACTTTTGGTTTTCCTTTTTTGTTTATACTGGCCAATTTATGAGTGATATACATAATTTAAAAGATATTAAAATAAAATATAATGGGAATCTTTCCTTAAAATGGGTGTTTCAAAATAAAGTTTTCCAGTGGTCCACTATATGACCCTCTCTTTATCTAAACTAGTGAAATGTTATCAGGGGAAATGTAGGTCTAAACTCCTTAAATCACTCCTTTTCTCCATTTCATACACTGCTGTTTTAAGTCATGTTCTTTTAAATACATGGTTACACATGACTGAGGTTGGTAGAAGTCTAATTATCAGATAAAGTGATACAATATTCAATAGAATAATTAAGATGCTAAGCATATAAATGTGAAACCAAAATTAATGAACTTAAAATACAAAGAAAACAGTACCTCTCTTACTTGAGTTAAATGATACAGTGTAAGCTGCATAAATGTTCATGATGTTTGAAATTTAATTCTCAGAGTACAATTTAATTTTGACTGGACTATAAGCAATGAAACTTTTTCTTCAATAAGTCCTACACTAAAGCATTAAATTATCTCTGAATAACCTTCACGGACAGTTTTACTAATTGATAGGCTTTCCCTTATTTGACATATACTAGAAAATAAGCCATTTCCAACCTTTTTCTAAACAAATAATACTTCAGATCGCAACAATTTCTCGAACACCCCTACCCTCCCTCCTCTCCCCTACCAAAACCCCACTTTGACTACAACTACCATATACTCAGTTTTTCCTAAGGATATTATATAGTATTTTTAATTAAGATTCCTGAGTCAATAAGGTGTAATACAAAAATTAAAGCTTCCAGGGATTGTATGTAAACTACATTATAAATAAATATCAATACCTAAGTTATATGTTTATGAAAAACATTTCTAAACTGGAGTTTGGAGCCCTCTTACAGTTATATGCAGTGAAGCTTCAACTAAGGAACTGTTTTTTTTTTTTTTTCTTTTTCTGGTACTGAGGACTGAAGCCAGAGGTGCTTTACACTGAGCTTTTTCCCCCACCCCTTTTAAATTTTTTTTTAAATTTTTTATTTTGAGACAGAATCTTATTAAATTGCTAAGGCTAACCTTGAACTTACAATCTTGCACCCTCAGCCCCCAAATTCCTGGAATTACAGACATGTGATGCTGCACACCATTGTTTTTCTAATATATACACATCTACAGGAAAAAGACACTCAAATTTAAAACAATGGTCAATCAAAATTAAGTAGAGATTCCATTTACCAGTATTATTAGGTATTGACATTTAATATTTTGCTTTTTTAAAAGGAAGTGATCTTTTTCTGGAGAAAATCTTTCATCATTAATAACCATTAACTTCATTTGGAAGATGGTCATCTTCTTCCTTCTTTATTTTTTCACTAAAGCTTTAAGAATAGGTATTTCTAACCAACTGCAGTTCAATTAATGTTTGGATGTAAAATGATGCTTTCAATAATGTATTAAACACACATAGTTCTAAGAATTTACCTTTGATTTTTATCTTTAACTACGGAAATAACTATCTACTTGTCAATCAGCTCAACTATTGAAAATAAGCTGAGATTCAAGTCTAGAGATGAACATACTGTCATGCAAGGAGCTGGACTAACAAGTAACTGTAACTTTTCACTTCAAGAACAACCTCACAAATATACTTACAAATGAAATCCAGCAACTGTCCTCTAGATCTTAAACATACAAAATAAGATGACATTCTTCTTTAGCAGCAGAAACAATATAGTTTTCCAATTAAATGGGAAAAAATTATAACAGAAATAATACCCCGGGGCCAGGGTTGTGGCTCAGAGGTACAGCGCTTGCCTAGTACGCATGAGGCACCACATAAAAAAAATAAAACACCACATTAAAAAAAAAAAAAAAAAGCACCACATAAAAAAATAAAAACAAATAAAATAAACATTAAAAAAAAAAAGAATACCCTAAGTTTTAAGAAACTGGATAAATACCTTAAAATGAGGTATAATATGATATAAAATAATGATGATCTAGAATAAAACTTTAAACACACTTTTTGTGCTTTTCTAAAATATTTTCTACTTCCTAAGCACACTTTCAACTGAAATTTCTCAAAAATTAGCAATTGTAAACTCACAAATTAAACTTACTTGGTAGTGTAATGGCTCTATAAAACTGTATTGAACTGCTGCCACCTTCTGGCTCCTT